CGGAAGGCCTGCAGCGCGCGGCGGTTCTGGAAGTCGATGAGGGCCAGCGTGATGGCCGCGTTCCAGCAGCTCTCGCCGGCGCAGCGGAAGTCGATCTCCTTGCGGTCGGTGGTGACGATGGTGAAGTACACATACTTGCCCGTGCGCTCCACGCAGTCCACCTTGAGGATGGAGTGGAAGCGCAGCTCCTTGGCGCGCGCGCCGGGCCCGGCGGGGAAGAGGCTCAGACGGTCCCGCGTCAGCACCCCGCGCTTCTTCTTCCAGAGTTGGAACAGGCTGTCGCTGCGCTTCTCCAGCTCGCCCTCGCGGAGGACCTCGCCGCCGGGGGTCTTCATGGCGGGCGGGCAGGCGGGCGGCGGGGCGGCTCGGCTCTGCGCCCCCGCGGTCCGCGCCGGCCTTTATGGGCGCCCCGCCCCGGCCGGCCGCGCCCCCCGACGCCCGTCACCGGCCCGCCCCAAGGAATGCAGCCCGCCCAGAGCGCTGACTCATGGCCCGCGGGCACCCGCGGGGAGGGGGCGCCGCGGGGCCAGACACCCCGCCCCCCAACTCGCCCTGCGGCCTGGCCGCCCCCGGGAGCGTCCCCGGAAGTGACCAGGCCCCTGAACAGCCCTGGCACCACCTGCGGCTCCGCCGGGACGGGGGACCCTCTCCTCGGCCCGGGCCGGCGACAGCCTGCCTCAGTGCACCCCCGGGTACAGTGGGGTCACTCGCGACCCTCGGACAGGCTCCTGGCCGCGCCAGTAGAGAAGTTCGCTGGGCCCTCTTGGTGGCGCGAGGAGTCCACCTGGGCGGGGTCCCCTCCGAGGCCCAGCGTCCCCCCCACCCTCCTCCGCCCTGGGGCCGAGGGTCAGGGAGGGAGGCGTCTGAGTCACGGCTCGCCCGCGCGGCGGCCTTTCATTCACTCTCGGGCTTGTAAGGATTTAGTGTCGACAGGAAGCGAAGGCGACAACGCCCTGGTTCCCAGGGGTGGAGGTGAGGCCGCCCGGGAGGGGCGAGACCACTGTCCGGGGTCGCCCACCTGCCAGCGCCTCTGCCTGGCTAAGGTTCCCAGGAGGCCGGGGTCCGAGGCCGGGGCCGGAGCGCAGCGTGAGCCCGCGAGCCTGCCGCCCCTGCAGCGCCCGAAGAGGCTCGGCTCGGGCTGCCGAGTCCCAGCGCCTGGGAGCCGCCCGCCGCCCGCGGGGTGTGGAGCCTGGGCACCCGGGTTCCCACGAGGGGCGGAGCCAGCCTTGTGCCTCTAGAGTTGGGCGGCGGCCGGAGGTGACTCTCGCTCCTGGGGGCTGAGAGTGATAGAGAGGGGCAGGAGGAGGGGCATGCACCCCCACCACACGGAGACCACTGGTGTGTCTGACCAGCCCCTGCCTAGGGCTGCCCTCACAGGGAAGCAGGCCTGCGGCGGAAGGGGAGAGGGACACGGGCACAAGTACAGCGTTGTGGAGAGCAGGGCTTCCCCTCTGGACACGACCTTCCCAGCAGAGTGGCCCAAATCAGCATGCTGAGGTCCCCATCACTGGGGGTAACCCAGCAGAGGCCACTCGCCCTGGATGGAACCTGGGCATTCCAGCGGGTTCCCTCAGTAGTCCTACCCTGGCCACTGGGCCCACCCCCTCCACTTCACTGCCCTAGGAGACAGGGGTAGGGTCCCGAAGGGGGCTCACTGGGTCCTAGGGAAGCTGGTGAGTTTAACCCCTGCTCCTCCTCGGGCAAACACACCAGCTCCCTGCTTCAGCACCTACTGTGTGCCTGCAGGACCCGAGAGCAAAAGTAGGCTCCTGTGTCTGCAGGCGTCTCAGGGGCTGGGGTGTGTGGGGAGGGCTTCCCAGGAGACCCGGTGGAGGGGGAGTCAGCCCCTGTGCTTGAAGAACACCTCTCACAGGTGTAGACAGAGGTGCAGGGAGGGGGAGTGAGGGCTGGGGCACCGCAGCAGGTGAGGCGAGGGACAGGCCAGGTGAGCCAACCCACAGGCTGTCCGTCCCTCCCCCATTGGCCCTGCTCCAGGGCAGGAGAAAGTCCCACCCCCGAGGAAGGTGGGAACCTTCAGGGCCCGTCCTTTTGCCCTAATAAGGCTGTCTGTCTTACAGCCTTGGGAACCCCTATGGGGTGGGGGGTGGAACAGGATGGGCTCCACAGCATCGGGTTGGAGTCAGTCAGGGGGAGCTGCTTTCTTGAGGTGCTGAGAGGACAACCATCCAGCCAAGGTCACACAGCTCTCCCCCCACACGCCCCCCTGCCCCCTCCGGAATCCCCGTCCTGGCCCGCCCCCCAGCACCTGGAGCAGACTGCTCCTCCCGTGGCTGAGACGCTGAGTTTAAAGGTGTGCCTGGGGGCCATTTCCAGGACTGGGGGGTGGGAGGGAGCTTTGAGGACCCTTTGCCTATTTGGCCTGTGGGGCAGCCTGCTGTGCAAGGTGAGGTACTGAGGGTACAGGCCACAGGCTCTCATCCAACTTGCCCAGTGGAAAGCCAGGCAGTGAGGTCATGTGTCATAGGACAGGGCCCCTGGGGCCGGGGCTCCATGCCACCCTCCTCTTCCTGTGGGCAACAGGTGTGCCGCCGAAACCCTGGGGAGAGGCCCCCTGCTGCCTACCAAGAACGCATTCCCCCCTCAGCACAGCGAGCGCCTCTTCTTCCTTCAGTCCCAGCTCAGACCCACCACCAGTGCTGCTCCCTTCATGTGGGAAGTCCGCTCAGGACGGCGCTTGTCTCATTACTCGTGAGATGCAGCCCTGGGACAGAGCCGCTCGGCTGAGGCGTCTTTACTGTGCCTCTGACCACTATTAACGCGCCTCCAAGACACAGGGCGCAAGGTGTGCGAGGCACTTGGGAGGCTTCTACTTTTGGGGAGTAAATCCCCTGCCATGGTCAGTCCAGACCTATTGCGACCGTGTAGGACAGAGTAGAACTGCCCCTTTGGGTTTCCACGGCCCCGTCTTTCTCCCGGGGAGCGGCTGGTGGTCCACTCTGCAATTGGTCAAGTAGCTCAAGGCCTCCTGTGCTAAACCCGTCCCCAGGAGTCCATTGGTAATAAGGGTTGTTGCCACAACCATCTTATACAAGTGTCTGTCTGAGGTTCTGCCAGGTCTTGAGGGGAACCCCAAGACTGGGGATTGTGCTGGCTCAGAAGGCCCCCTGGCTTTTCGCCAAGCAGAGGCACCACCCAACATTCCTACCCGCCAGGGTTCCTCCCTGACACATTTCTGATGGAAGCCATCCTAACCTAAGGTGACCAGATTGTAACATTGGTAAAGCAGGACATCATTGATAAAACTCATATCCTGGCGAAATAGCCACATGGCAGTCGAAAACTGTATACCCTAGCTTGTTGTGCATTCTTTCAAAAAATCGGGACTTTTTAATAAAAACGCCGTGGGACTTGGGAAAAATTGTTAAAAATCAAGACTGTACCACCAAAAGTGGGTAGTCTGGTCACCTTATCCTAAGCCCCTGATGAGTTCCTACTCTGTAGGGTTGGATACTGCAACTCTGAGAGCAGGTCTCTCGTCTCCCCCCACCCTGAACCACTAACCACAAAGTGCTACAAGGGGATGGGGAGGGGAGGGGCTGGTCCTCTGGGACCATGTTGTTGGGAGGGACAGGAGTCCTGGGGGCACCTGGTTCAAGGGCTGATGGCCTAAACCGACCAAGGGAGAGAAGCAGTAAGCTCTCATGCCCATGGCAGCTTTAGGGACCCCAGGGCAGGTGTGTGGATGCTAAGGGGCAGGTCTGCAGGGTCCTGTCAGGAACAACGCCAGCATCGGTTCAGCCTCCTGGCCGGTGGGAGGGTAGTGGCCTTTCATGGGGCCTGTGACACTGGGCACCCTGTCCTGCTGACGGGCCATCTCTCTGGAGAAAATCTGTGCAGGTCCCAGGGGCGGGGTGTGTTCAAGAGCGGCTGCCTATGCATCGTTGTGTTTCTGATCAGGTGCGTGGTACCCAGATAGCCTCCTGTGCAGCTTCTTTTATCTCTGCTGCCTAATAACACCCCACTGGGGCTCCTGGGGGCCAAGGCAGCTGCCCCCGCCAAGCTGTCCTAAGAACAGGGATGTTTACTTAGACGCCAACTTACTGTTCTGCAGCCACCGTATGGAGCAAACGGAGCTGTGGCCACAGACACCAGCCTTCTGTGGTGACCACTCACTTCAGGACTCCATGTTTAGTTTGAAGACTTAGGGTCACAGTCTGGGGGGACTGCTAGGTCACCTGGCCTGAGAGTTCGGGATGTGGCTATCTAAGCAAAGTCCTTGCTGGCTCTCTGCCCTGATGGGTTTACTCAGGGGACTACCTCCCCCTCTCGGAGACCCGCACTCCTAGATGGTGCCCCGGCATCGGCCGACCAGGATGGCCATAGCTGGATCCTGATAAATGGAAAACACGTGCACCAGTCACATTTCAAACTAACCAGACCAACTCAAGCCTTCCTGGCCCCACATTCCAGAAGCCCCAAACGTCAGCACAAGAGCAGGCCAGCTTGTAAAGGGCAAACCACCCCAGGAGCTGGGCACACTCATCGCCTAAGACCGAAGGGCCAGCTACTCTCGAGCACGAGCAGGTCACTGGCGAGAAGCACTGGCCCGAGGGCGCTGGACGAGCCCGGCAGCAGTGTCCTTTACAAAGGCAGCCTGCGGCAAGTCAGGCCACATACAAAGCCAGGGCACCTTTCAGTCCCTTGAGCAGAGGGGTGCAGTTTACAATGTGAAGAAAAAGGAATTTCTGGGGAGCATCCTGGGTGGGTGAGGCTGGCATTGGGGTTGCCATGGAGAGAAACATCCGGCGGCAGCTGCAGCCAAACGGGGACTGAGTCAGTTGGCGAGGTGGCCTCGGATGGCTCCCAGGTGACCAGGCCCTGCAGGTGTGGCCCTGGCAGGGCTGGCAAGATGATGACAGACTGTGCTGAGGGCGGGCTGTGGCCACACCCGTGTGTCTGGGGGACTGGCTGCAGGGGGAGGTACTGGGTGTTGACCTCAGGGAGAAACCCGACCCACCGCAGCTGCACAGGGGCTCAGAGGTCAGTGTGGACAGGCTGGCAGAGAGGTGGGGGGCAAGGGCCTCCTGCCACCTTGGCTACTCCAGGGAGTCCAGCCCAGAGGGAGGCACGGCTGGAGGCCAGGTGTCACTGCCTCTCCACCAGGTCACCTCTGGCTGGTGCCTCCCCTGCCCAACCCATATTCAGCTGGCCCAGATTCTGGGGCCCAAGTGGGGGCTGCTGGGCTCTGGAGGGGAGCAGAAGTACCCCTTACCCGCTGACAGCAAATTTGGGGCAACGAACTGACCAAGGGAAGTGGCCGTGGATGGATGTGCGCCAGGCACTGACCCACTGAAGCCTGGTGGCCCAGGTGCAGCCGGGCCTGCGCTGGGCGGGCAGCCTGGGGACGCTGCCGTTCCCTCCCATCATCATGCTCACGCCGGCTCTCCCTGCCTGCAGGCTCCGGCCCCAGCTCCCCCCGGGTGGCCACCCAGAATGGCCCTCAGCCGAGCTGACCTCTGTGTCTTCAAGTGCCAACGTGATTACCAGACCTCGCTGAGGGGGGTAGGTGGTGCCAGGTGGGCTAACCCTAAGGGAGGGGTGGTCGGGGTAACAAGACTCAGGAGGAAATGAATGTGGGTTTCTTGTGGGGCATTCCCTCCCGGAACCTTTTTAATCCCAAAGCAAACTGCCCTTGTTCTGCGAGTGGCTCAGGCCCCGTGAGGGGCACAGCAGGTCCGGCATCGGGGAGACGCCCCCCCAGAGAACAGACGGAGCCACAGGCCGGCCCTGTTTCACAGCTTTAATAGAATATCTAAGTGTGCTGTACAGAGTGAGCCACCGAGCTGGGTGCAAAGAGGCCAGAGGAAGGCCGAGCAGAGCCCCCCCACCCCACTGCGCCCCAGCTGTACACTTGGCCTGAGCCAGGGTATGAGCGTAGCACCCACCCCCTGGCCCGGCCTCACCTTTCACAGCCAGAGCCCCATAGCTGCTAGCTGCTGGGTCGGGGCTGGGTGGGCAAGTGGGCTTCCCTGACGCAGTGTGCCGTTCCCTGGGAGGGAGGAGGACCCCAGCCGACACGGAAGGCCTTCCCAACAGGGCCGAATAAATAGAGGAAACCAACTGCTAAAGCTAACCTGGGGTAGGCGTGCGCCCCTCCCACCGGCCCAGAAAACAAAACCAAAGAAAAGTGCCCTGTGGAGGGAGGGGGACCTGCCTCCAGATGGGGCAGGGGGCTCCGCACCCACCCTCACCCATGACCGCCACGCTGCCCCTGTACAAGTGAAGCCAAATAGTAAAGAAAGGGGGAGGGGGGGCGAGAACCATGCAGGGGCTGCGGGGCGGGTGGGCAGCTGTCCGGTGCTGGCTGAGTCCAAGTGGCCATTCATGTCTGCCTCATTGCTGCTTGCACTCGGCCGGCTGGCTGGGGTCCTTCTGTGAACGAGAGCGCGCGCAGAGCTTTCAGGGACCACTCACCAGGCTGGCGGCAACTGGTTGTGGCGTGGCCACTGGACAGGGACTGCAGGCCCCACACTGGTCTTCCTGCTCTGTCGGGCCCGCCGCGATTCCTGCCGAGAGCACAGCCCCAGTGCCCTCTTAGGAAACCGTCCTTGGGGGACACCCGGGGTGGAGGGGAAGCGCTTGTGGCTCCTGCCGCCCCCTCGAAGCCAACCCGCCCTGTGCCTCTCATCACAGCGCACCAGGGCTAGCCGATGAAAGCTCCTCAGGTGACATGGTGGGGACGAGCCGTTGCCAGAGATGTTCTCGCTCTACGCACAGCTGCGCTACCACAGGAAGAGTGGGACCCATCGTGCCACACAGGTTAGAAGCCCCCAGCCCTCCCTGGGGCCCTAAGGCAGTGCCCAAGGCCAGAGCTGGGGCAACCCTGAGGACACTATTGGCCTGGGCAGAGCCCAAGTGTCCGCTTGCAGTGGCACCAAGTAGCCAGAACCACTTTCCAAATGCCCTGCCAACCATGAGGTCCAGCACCTGGCCTTACCGTTCAGGGTGAAGAGTCTGACCACAGCGCAGCCTGCCTGAGAACAGCGGCTCCCTCTCCTGGGGAGCCAACTAGCAGTCAGCTGCCAGGTCTACTCTGCCCTGGCTTGACGCTGACGCACAGCGCCCCCTGTCGGTGTCTGAGACGGGCACTGCTGCTGGGAGTAGAAAGCAGTCCTTCCGAGGAGCTGCTAGTGGCTTCCAACTGCTGACCGTGTGGATCGCAGTCCAGCGCATAACCATGCCACCACCGGGACTCCCAAGTCTATGGTGACGTCACCTAGTTTCCTGGATTGCAGCCCCGTCTGCCAGCGGCCTATTCATCTCCTGTGCGCTCAGCCCAGGGCGGAGGGCAGCAGGACATGGGTCAGCAAGACCATCTTGTCCAAGTGACACGGGAGCCCTGCTGCCCTCCCCTCCCCTGCCCCCTTCCAAGACACCCGTGTCCCACAAGTGAACAGGTGGTGGCAGAGACGTGAGCCGACTTCCTCCTACAGCCACTGCTCAGGTGCACTAACCCGTCCACAGCCAGTGGGCTGAGGACGGTGCCACCCGAGAAGCTGCCCAATCTGCATGTGATCCCTTTGTAGAGGGGCCGTGTGTGGCTGCCGTGTAGGCAGCTGCCCCCTGGTTCCCTCTCCTCGGTCCTTGTCCTGTGTGCAGCCAAGGAGAAGGCCCCAAGCTGTGACTCAGTAGCCTGGGGAGCAGCAAAGGGTGGTGAGAAAGCAGGTGCTGGGGGCTCTGTGAGCGGACCCCCCATGGGGCACCCCACCCACCACATGCAGTTCCCTGGTGCCCGCCGAGTGTGTATACCAGACAGACCGGGTGGGGTGGGGAGGACGAGCGGAGCTTCACCTTACCTAGAAACGCACGCACCATTAACAAGTATTACACCTGAACGGGGAGAGGAAAGGAGGCATCAGTGAGCAGGAAGGCGGGGGACGCCGGAGCCACAGGAGGTGACAGGTGAGAGCTCTCACCACAAAGGACGCCAGGACGCGAACAGCTCCATGAGCCAGCCCTCGCTCGCTCCGAGTGCAAACCCTGCCCACGTCAGCAGCCAGGGCTGTGAGCCCACCTACTGCAGGGCTGGGTGCGGGGTAACTTGCTACCTGCCCTCCCTGTTTGTGGTTGGTCACCGGCTGGTAAGAACAGGTGCCAGGTGAGGAGACGCACAGGAAGCAGGTGACAGAACACAGAGACCTGGGGTGGAGCCCAGACCAAACCCCATCTCCCTCTCCAGAACCTGGTGTGGCCACTAGGGCCCTGGAGGGCAACAGCAGGAGCCAAATAAACCCGCCTGCACGCAGGCCATGAGAGCAGGTGACACCATCGGAGCCTGCCCACCAACTGACCGACAGGCCTGTCTCAGGCCCACACCTGCTGGCTGGGCCAGGGCCACCTCGTGTGCGTGCACTTGGCCTCAGGTTTAAAGGAGATGGAAAGCGAAGGAGGATGTGGGGGTACTGGAGGGTGTGGAGGGGACAGAAGCATGTCTGAGCAGAAGGCAGAGCTGAGTGTCTGACATCCCAGTGCGGGCAGCGCCTCCAACACCTGGCTAAGAAGACTTCAGACGGAACATGTTAGTGTTCTCCCGCTGCTCTTCGTGTGAAAACACGGGAGGGAGAAAGGAAGTTAAAAACAGATGATGCGTACTGCAAGCAGATGGGCTAAGAGGTACCCCAGCATCCTCCCCAGGGAGAGACCCACCTCAGTGAACCCCCTCCGCGCAGGTGGAGGGCAGAGAAAGGGGGGAAGGGGAGAAGCCCATCTACCGGCTGGACCAGCACTGCAGGCAGGAGCCCAGGCCCCAGGGCCTCTGAGGTGGGATCCGAGTCCACCAGCAATGGCACCGGGCTGTCCGCAGGTCCAATCCTCAACCTGCCTCCCCTGGATCGTAGGAACCTCACACAGACAAACTCTGCCTGTTATAAAGACTATCACCTGCCTCCATCATCCGCCACGGCCCATTGAGCAAGAAGGTGTCTGGGGCTCTCAGGGGGCTGCTTGGATAGACAAATGAATGGGCTGTAGCACCCCAGAACCCTGAAAGGCATGGCCCAGACGGTCTCAGAAAACAAAGTTCTCCTCCAGCCTTGAGAACCACCACCAGGTCCACTCTGCCTGACAGTATCCGCAGACACAGCCGAGCTCCCCTACAAGGAGCAGCCAGCCTCGCCTTTCTCCCGTGGAGCACGTGGTGGATTTGAACAGCCCACCTTTTATGTCAGAAGCCCAGCCCTTCACCTGTTCGTGAACGTGCACGCCCTGCCGTGCTGGGGCCCACTGCCTGGGGCCCACTGTCCCTGCTCCTTCATCAGACTTGGACCCACTGTGAGCTGAGGCAGTGGGACTTGAATCACAGCCAGCGGTCAACGGTGGCTGCTGTCCCACTGTCTACAGTGATTCAGGAAACGGACTTGGAGTTGATTTCAGACTCCCAGGATGGTATGACAAGGTGAGTGTGTAGGGTGTGTGGCAAGAACATCAATGTGGGGGCTGAACGAGGCCCCCTGAGCACTATGCTACTGGCTGCACCTCTGGTGCTGGGTTGCTGGTGGAGTTCCAAGGCGGGGACTGGGGGAGGGGGGCCTGAGAACTGATGAGCAGTGATGGGCTGAGATGGGGGCCCCGATACAGGGGGCTGGACAAAGACCCCACCCCTATCCAAGGCCAGCAGAGAGCCGCCTGTGTGGTGTCAGGGCAGCGTGGACACGCTGGATGTTGAGACACGGATCCCAGGGCCAGGTGGTGACACTTGACGGCTGCGGGCACCACCACTGTGCAAACAGAGACACAGACAAGACAGATGCCCCATAGAGCAGCCGAGGTCAGCAGGCCGGCCCCCCCGGTGAGCATCCTGAGAGCCCCAGGGCATGCAGGTGAGCTGCACACTAGGCCCTTTGCTGGAGGGCCAGAGCTCACACTCTCTGGGGCCTGGGCAGCAGAGGGGCCACCTAGGCCCCCGGGCGGGCTCAGCAATCTGGTGTCTGACGGTTCTTGGGGTTCCCTGCAGCAAAGCTGGCTCGCTCCCCACGAGTGTTCCAAAGCAGCCCCACCGCTCGCTCACCTTGGGGTTCACCTCTGTATCCTCCTCCTCGTCTCCCTCCTCGTCACCTTCCAACTCCTGTAAGCAGAGGAAACAGATAGGACAGACGCCTCAGCTTCTCCACACCCCAGCTCACCGTCCACCCCACGGAACCACTGACCCCTCTCAGCCTGGGCATGTGCCACGAGGGGTGGGATTTCCCCTGGCCTCCCAGCTAAGCCCCGAAAACGGATGTCTGGGGCGGTGTGCTTTGTTTGGTGAGTCATCACTTTCTAGAGGCCTTTCCACAAGCCAGGTGCCTGGTCAAAACTGGCAGGCAGCTTGTGAGCACTGGCTGCAGTGGTGCCCGGGGCAGAGAGCAGCCTGGCTGGCTCTCTGCTCGGAACTGTGGCGGGAAGAGACAAGCTGCCCACAGCCCTTCCTTACCTCCTCTTCTCCCTCCTCGCCTTCTTCAAACTGAAAAAAGCAAAACAGAAAAAGCCTTCAGGCGTCCACCACAGCAGTGGCCTGAAGGAGACGGAGGCCTGCAGCGGCTCCCGGCAAGGAGTGGTGTGGGGCGGCACAAGGCTGCGGCTCTTACCCAGCAGCTCGGTTACTGACACCCCACCCCAAGTGAGGCCGGGGGTGGGGTGGTCATCAGCACAGTGCCTGTCGCCCCACTTCTCTGGGTTCATCCTACCACAGCCCCCTCCATCCTCAGGACGCCAGGGCCCACCTGAGCTTACCCTTTGGCCTGTAGATGTGTCCTTCACAAGGACAACCTTCTAAACACACCCACTAGCTACTCAAGGTGCCGGGAACACACGTGCACATAAACCCGGAGAAGGTCAAGTAAGCCAGCCAGCCAGCTCCTCGGCAGACAAACACCTCTGGACCCCGTGTCCAAACCCGCTCTGCCACCCAGGGCCAGCTGCACTGTGGTCCCAGGCTCAAACCATCACAGGGAGGCTAGGAAGGGAGCCCGTGGTCCTCCATGCTGGGCGCTGAGAGCACCTAACACGTCCTCCCAGCAAAGGGCCAGAAGGCCTGTCCGTGCACAGGGAGGATGCAGGTGCTGAGGGGTACCATCTATCTGGACGGCCCCCCTCCTGCCCCCAACTCACGGTGTCGTCATCCTCGATGGCCTCCCCGGTGAAGTAGAGCACCGCCCGTGGGACGATCCGCTCGCGGAAGAAGTGGCCAATCTCAAAGTCCGAGGCCAGCGTGAACTCCGAGTCTTCATCCTGGGGGGAGGGCCCGGTGCTCAGTGTGCCCCGCCCCACAGCTACGTCCCAGGAGAAACGACATAGCACCTCGGGGCCGGAAGAAGCAAGCAGGGCAACGAACCCACCCCCGCCCACAGGTGCTGTAACCCCCAGTAAGCAGGTGGGTGAGGATCCAGCAGGGACATGAGGGTGTGGGTGGTGACCTGGTTCTTACCAGTGATTCTCCGTCCCCAGACGCTGGAGAGAGAAAAGGGAAGCTGGTGTGAGAGGCTGACGGGGCTGTGTGTGGGTGTCCGCCCACCCAGAGAGCCAGGCTGTCAGCCGGTGTTAGCAGCAGCCCGTGTCACTGCGTGCTGCCACTCCCACCCCAGCACAGTTGCTGGCACTAATCAGTGTCTGAGGCACAGGACAGGGCCAAGGAGTAGCCAACCCAGCAGGTGCTGTCTGGCCAGGTTCTCGAGTGACCACCATGGGGTTCTAAGGGGCCTGCAGGATGGCAGCAGAAGGTCCCTCCCAGGAATGACCCACCCCATCACCCAGCGCCAGCTAGTGATGGATGTCTTGTGCAGCTGCTCTGGCATCTTCTGGGAAACAGCTTCACTGCTGGCCCATCTTTTAAGGCTGCCGGCATGAGGGTGGGTGGAGTAGGGCGGTAATAAAAAGGCTTCCAGGCCAGGTGGACTCAGAGCCAACTCTAGAACACACGGAGATCCAAATAGGAAGCTCCAGGTGTAGGCTCAGCTTAGCACGCAGCTAGAGCAAAGGGAGTCGTCTGTAAATCTCTATGGGAGCAGAAAACACCCAGTGGTTTCAAAGAGCTGACCTTTCGTCAGCGGGCTGAATAACGTCCCACTGTACCCCAGGGCTCCTGAGGGGAACACTGGTCAGATAGACAGGCCCCATGGGCACGAGGCAGTGATTTCAGCACCGGGCCCGTGTCGTCTCAGGACACCCACCTTTGAGGGGGCTGAAGAAGTTGAAGAAGGAGTCACTGGGCACCTGCTTGGTGACGGTGCGGACGGTGCCCCGCCCCTTGTGCTTCTGCTTCTTCCTGACGGTCTTCACGGTGACGTTCTTCCCCTTCTTCCAGTCGATGGTGCACCTGCGGGCACCAGCCAGCGGCGGTCACACGTGCCCCGAGCCCGAACCCCAGCCCGCCCAGCGTCAGCTGCACCCTCACCCGTCACAGTCAACGATCTCAGGGCCCTCAAAGGAGAAGGGGTCGGCTGCGTCGGGCTCCGCCTTCATCCTGTAGGTCTTTGTCAGCACGGGGTCGCTGAAGTAGTCGTTGGGCTCAAAGTGGAACTCCAGCACGAAAGACTGCAAACAGGGCCTCGACTGAGCTCGGGTGACCAGTGAGGGGCGCACCTCCTGTGCTGGGGACCCCCAAACAAGGCCACACTCTTACCAGGCCTGTCTGCTGTCCCCACCCCCACGAGGGGGATGATCAGACTGGAGTGCACAGGAAGACAACTGGGCACCCGGGACCCAGCCGTATCCCAGCTGGGACCCCCTTGCTCCATCTGCCAGCTCTGGGGGTGGTGCATGTGTGTGTGCAGCAGGGAGCAGGCCTCAAGATGACAGGCCTCCCACCAGGAGCAGCCTAAATGTTCGATGGTGCAATAGAAAAGCCAACAGGGAGGCTCAGAAAGGCAGGCACTCTCACGGGGCAGAACCACAACGCATACACGAGCCACACAACTGAGTGAGCCAAGGAGTAAGGGCAGGGTGTGCTCTCGACCCACAACCCCGGAAGACAGCTGGCCCAGCGCACCACCATCGTCACTAAGCCCAACTCGCACAAGAGAGGAAGGTAACCCGTGTAGGCACATCAGTGGTGACAAGTCAGATGGTGTGACTGAGCAGCTCCTCAGTCTCTGAGATTCTTTTCTCTACAAGCTGAGGCTTCCTGGGAAGTGTTCAGAGAGACAGACAGACACACACACACAGCCGTAATCATTTTTTAAAAGTCCAATCTCACTAGTGAGTAGACATGGGAACCCAGCCTGCAGCATGGTTGCTAGAGACAAGGGGACGGCGCCTTCCCGTGGCCAGAGGCTGACTAACTACCAGAGTCTGGGAGGGCTCTCTGGCAGCACACAGGCGGTGGGCAGCACTGCTTGGAAAAGCCAGGAAACTGGAGCAGAAGCCAGGTGAGAAATGGGAAGAGAGCTGCGAGGTCGTGAACGCCACCACCAATGCCAGGGATGCAGCATGTGTGAGGTGTCACACGGAAACCTAACCCAATTTTGCACCACAAGCTTGCATGCACACGACAGAAATCACCCGGGGTCAACCAACACTGGCAGCCAGAGTGTAAGCTGAACCAGCTTTGGCCTGAAGAGTCTAGTTCCCTTGACCAGTAACCGCATACCAGGGGCCCTGCTCCCACCCAGGGCTCTTAGCCTGGAGCCAAGATGCCGACGGCACAGCCTGCAGTGTGCCCCCTTCCTGAGGGTGGGGGGAAATGCACAAGGTGTCTGCACAGCAATGTGCCCCTCCTCAGATGGGCAGGAAGGGGAAGCCCAGGCTAGCACGCTCACTTCCCAGGTGGGACTCGCCTCCCTTTCCTCTTTAACTTTAGGGTCACACCACGCCATGATCAGGGAGCAAGGACAAGATCGCAGGGTCCCTGGGCAGGATACTGGGCTCGATGACTGCCCCAGGAGCGAGAACAGCAGCCACACACTCACCACCACGGACTTTGCCAGCTCCCTCGTACCCCACAACTGCGGGGAGTGAAAGACAGATGTACAGGCAGAGCAAGGAAGAAAGGGGCCCAGGAAATAGCGTGCCTGGTGCAAGCAGACTAGAGGTAGGGGGAGAAGGAACAGCAGTAATCTCAAAGGCCTAAGGCCAGAGCCAAGGATGCAACTGTGCCCCTGGCCACTAGAGGGCGCATGGCCACAGCAGCACAGAGACTGCACCAGGATGCTAGATAGAGTCAGAGTCCCTGGGAGAGTGGGTAACCAGGGAAAGGAGAGACCACCTGCCAGCCAGGGAAGGGGCAGAGGCTGCAGGGCTGGGAGCTAAGACAGGGAAGGAGAGGGCCCCTAAGGCTCAGTAGTCACCTCCCTGGACATCAGTAAAACAGAGGCCCCTTGGGCCTGAATCCAGTGCTGATGACCATACAAACCAGTCAGAAGGCATGCCACCTGGCCCACCAGCCACCCTAACTGGGGGGCAGCCACCCCAATGACATGAGACTGGAAGACAGGCCCAGGCCTCTTAGTCACCGTGGGCCATCTGCACGCCCGTGAACTGCTCACGCAGCACACCGTGTGACCCGTGGTCAGAGCCTGCCGGTGGGGCAGGTGGTCCCACAGCATGCACTCACCATGGGCTGCCCGGGGTCAGAGAAGCGCACTTTGATGTCCTGCAGGTGCTTCAGGATCGGCTCGTCGTACTCCTGGTCACAGGGAGGTAGGCGTTAGACACACGAGGCCATGGGCACCGGCCCGCTGCGATCCTGTCTCACAGTACCTCTGCTCCCCAGCTCGCAGATGTCTTGAGAAGACCAGTGCCAGCTGCAATGTTTCTGACAGGGGCAGCACTGTCCCAGTAATGGGAGCACCTCAAAGGCCCACCTCCTTCCGCGCCCAGGCATAAGCCCCAGTGCCTTCCAGGCCTGAAGGGAGTCAGATGGGCCACGGACTCAGTGTCGGGACGGCGGTGATCTTTCCACTCGTGCAGACACGAGCACAGGAGTGTGGAAACTGGAGGGGACAGTGAGACCAGCTGCTGTCCCTGGCGGCAGGAACTGCCCCAGAGGCCCACGATCACGTCCATGCACAGGGCCCTTCCCAAGAACTCGGCTCAGGTGGAGCTGGCATGCCCAACAGAGCATCAGGACGCCAGTCATGCACTCCTGCTGTGCCCAGTGGCGAAGAGGACACCACCAGCCCAGAGTCCAAGCCATTACCCTGCTGTCCGGGGCAGTGACTGGTGATTCTGCTGTCACCCTCCCAACGTTCACTTCTTTGGAAACAATCAAGAGGAAGCCAAGAGCAACAGCAAAGACAGTGAGGAGCCTTGGGGCCGCCAACAGATTTTTAAAAGGTAGGGACTTCATCGGGATCCTGTCCATCTTAACACTCCCACAGCCCTGGGCTCACTCTGGGCCGACTCTCCAGGGCCTGCATGTCAGTGATGGCGTCAGCACCGCCAGTGGGAAGGGTTCCCAAACTCCTGGCCCAGCTCAGACATACTCTTGGTTTGTCAACCAGAGCTGTTCAGGCCCGGGGGCAGCGCAAGGCCGAACACATCAAACACCCAAAGCTCTGAGCAACTAGAGGCTACAGCCTGGCAGCACTAGCAAACCTTCCACTTAAAGGGACATAACAGGATCCTGCGTTCCCACGAGCCCAAAGCCCTGGACTCCCTTCTGCGTCGGGGATGACGACTGGAATGAGCTGGAGCCAGACTGAGCCAACCATCTTCAGTCCCTAACTATCTGCCCTCAGTCCCTACCTTGTCCTTAGGCATTACTGAGTTACTTCCAACCCACAGTGACCATACGTTCGATAGACCCACGCCGTCCTCACAGTGGCTCCTATCCTTGAGCCCATTGTCGCAGCCAGGGTCCACCCAGCTCCTGGAGGGCCGCCCTGTTTCGCTGACTCCCCACTTTCCCAAGCACTGTGTCCTTCTCCATGTGGCCAACGTATGTAAGACAACGTTCCCCACCCTGGCCTCTAAGGAGCACTCTGCCATACTTCTTCCAAGGCAGACGGTTTTAGCAGCCACGGTCCTGCACGGGCTTCTCCAGCACACAGTTCAAGTGCATGGCTCCCTCCAGGCTTCCTTGTCAAAGTCCAACTTTCACGTGCATCCGAGGCCAGGGGAAATACAATGGCTTGGGTCAGGCGCACCTTAGTCCTGAAAGTGGCACTCTTGCTTTTCAATACTCTAAGGTGGTCTCGTGCAGATTTACCTGATGTAACTGCATCTTTTGGTCTCTTGCTTGTTGCTTCCAGCGGTGCTGACTGTGGACCCAACAAGACACAATCATGGGCTTCAACCACTCTCCAGTCACCATGATGTTAACTTACGGGTCCTGCGTGGGGACTTTTGTCTTCTTGACACGGAGTTGCAGTCCACACTGAAGGCTGCCTCCTTGATCTTCATCAGCAGGTACTTGGAGTCTTCCACACTTCCAACCAGCCAGGTCGCAGGCTGTTAATAAGCCTTCATCGAAGCCGGCTTCTCTGCCGCTCTGCTCAGCAGACAGACTGCATGAAGTACGGTGAGAGGATACAACCCTGACACACGCCTTACCTGATTTTAAACCATGCAGTCACATTTCCCTGCTGTTCGCACATCTGCCTCTTGATCCCTGTACAGGTTCTACATGAGCACAAACAAGTGTTTTGGAATTCCCATTCTTCTCAAGGTTATCCACAGTTTATTATGATCCACAGAAATGCCTTGGCATAGTCGAAAAACACAAGAAAACATCTTTCTGGTATTTACTGCTCCCAGCCAGGATCCATCTGACCTCAGCAATGATATACCTCCTGAAACAGCCGGAACCCTGTCAGTGTACTGCTGCAATTATTGTTGGACGATCTTTACCAACATTTTACTTGCATGTATTAATAATATTGTTCTATAGTTTGAGTACTACTAACTAACCGCCCTCAATCACAAATTAACTACCCTCAGTCACTACCTACTATTTACCCTTAGTCACAAAGGTAACCAACCACCCTTGGTCACTATCCATAGCCACGAACTGACCAACCCAAATCAAGGCCTACCTTTCTACCTACCTACTCATAGTCACACACTAACTGCCCTTCATCACAGATCACCCCCAGACTCCCACGACCTTACATGCAGGAAAAGGAAGGGACCACCAAGAGCAGGGCTGCCCAAGGGTCCATCGCTGGGCTCTAGACAGGGCACAAGAAGCAGACAGGCAGCCCACCTCACAGCCACATGAGAAATCCAGCGCCCAGCTGGTCAGACCCATGTGCCCACAGCCACCAGCTGCCAGGCGCCCCCAGGGAGTGAGCACTCTGAGCTGCAGGCCAGTCCACCGGTCTGCTCCCCAGTCCCGTCCCCCAGGGGCGGCGCCAGCAAGCTGGCTCCCACTCACGGCAACCCCACGTACAGCAGGGAGAGACACTGCCTGCCAGCACCTCGCAGCCCGCTGGGTTTGTGCCCACAGTTGCAGGCAGTGTCAACCCAACTCTTCAGGGCCTTTCTTTTTGCTGCCCCCACTTTACCAAGCACCATGTCCTTGTCCGGAGACTGGTCTCTCCAGACAACTTGACCACAGCAGGAGAAAGTCTCATCCTTACTTCTACGGAGCACTCTGGCTGTACTTCTTCCAAGACAGATGTGTGGGTTCTTTTGGCCGTCCGTGGACGTTCGGTATAGTCTTTGTCCTCACCATCGTTCAAATGCGCCCACTTTCGTCCTTATTCAAGGACCAGCCTGCACGTGCCTCGATGAACCACACCAAGGCCCGGGCCAGGCGCACCTGAGTCCACAAAGTGGCATCCTTGCTCTTCAACCCTACAGAGGTCTTGTGCAGCAGATTCACCCAATGCACTGTCATTGATCTTTTGGCTGCTGCTTCTTGAGCATTGGTTGTGGACCCAAACAAGACAAAGTCCTGACAACTTAAACCTTTTCTCCATGGATCATGAGGCTCCCCAGTGGTCTAGTGTTTGAGACTTTTTGTCTTCTTGACACGGAGTCAGTCATAATCCACACTGAAGGCTGCCACCCTTGACCTTCATCAGGAAATGCTTCAAGTTCTCCTCACTTTCAACGAGCATGGCTGTCTTCTGAACCACGCAGATTGCTAGTAAGTCCTCCTCCCTCCAGTCCTGATGCCGCGCTCTTCTTCACACGCTCCAGCTTCTCTCAGCATCTGCTCAGCACCCAGACCGGATAAGGAGTGCGACAGGATGCAATCCAGATGCACACCTCTCCTGGTGTTAAAGCACGTAGTATTTCCTTGTCCTGTATACCCAACTGCCTACAGATTTCCCACATGCGCACAAGAAGTGTTCTAGAATTTCCATTCTTCTCAGTGCTCTTAGTTTGTTCTGATGCACAACTGAATGTACACAGGGAGTCCTGGTGGCGCAGAGGCTCCGGTGTTGGGGCACTCTGCGGGAGAAAGATGAGGCTGTCTGGCTGTCTCAGAAACCCCACAGAAGGTGGCATGCACCTGTGCACCTAACAGGCTTCCAGGGAGGGCCACAGGCTACTTCTCCTAAGGCCATGGCCAGCAGGGACCACGGGAAGTGAAAGTGACGTGTCAGCCCATCCAGTTCAGAAGCAGCAGCCATGCCATGGCAGTGAGGTGAACGGCAAAGGAAGAGGACACATGTAACCTCCCTGGCCTCTGTAGAGCACGAGGCAGGGGGCAGTCTTCACACACTAATCGTTCCTTCCCCGCCACTGTGCCTCTCTGCTGGGCTCAGGGATTTGTTGCTGAGGTAGTTAGTTTATTGTGCCAACCTGGCCGATAAACACATGTGGGATTAATTGAAGGGGGAGAGAGAAATGGCTCGGCAAGTCTCGCCTTTCTTGTCTCTTGCTCTTTGATCATCGGACCCGTGTGCGGCTGCCTTGCTTGTTCTTTGCCTCAATTTATAAGCTACACTACCTGGGGGACACTTAACCCGTGGAGTGTGTCGCTGTAATTTGGGATTCCCTCAAGACCTGCTTTGCCACACCATTGGAATTTACATCTCTTGAGCTGGGGACTGTCGGATCCTGTCATCTGGCTGACTATTGGTGACCTGCCTTGCTGTTTGCTGCCTGTGGCCAGATAGCCTGAATTGCTCTACAGAGGACTACCTGGTGGCCTTCAAGACTTGAAGGACTGCCAGTGTCTCACAACTGTCTCATGGGAGTGAGCTGCACTGAGCCATTGTACTGCTTTATAATTTAATTAACTGTTTTTTTTAAGTTACTATGATATATATTTATTTATTTATTTGCAGTAGTTGATTTTACATTACATGATTTTGCATTTACCCCGTAATTAAAAGTCATAGTGTCCTTTTACCTTCAATACTACTGCTTTCAGCTCAGCAGCTGCTTTTTTTTAAAAAAAAAATCATTTTATTAGGGGTTCATACAACTCTTATCACAATCCATACATCAATTGTG